GCTCCGAGAGGCTGAGAGGGAAACATCAGTGATGGATTGTGGCCAATTCAGGATGCAACGGTACAGTGTGGAGCTCAGAGGTAATTGCTCTCACATAGCAATTCACTCTTTGTGTTTTATACCCCACTCGACTCCCTACCCCCCCCCCCACCCCTCTCACGCACCCCCCGCCCCACCACCCTCTCTCCCCCGAAGGAAACTTCCTGCTAACTAATTAAACCCCCCCACCTCCCTCGTCCTCCAATTGATTTCGGCTCCCGTTTCAGTGCCTGCGGAGAGGAGAAGGCAGCCTGTAAATTTATTTATTACAGGGCTAATTCTAATTTCGAGACCTGAAATTGATGTTTTTTCTCCACCTCTCTTTCCCCTTTTTCCCCCTCCCCTCACCTCCCCCTTCTCCTCCTGACATGAACACCCAGAGTGTTCACAAACCATGGGTGGTTGGGGGGGGGGGGCGGCAGGGAGCGGCGAGGGAGAGGGGTTATGTCTCCGCGCTAACCTTTGCCGTTTCCGACTCACGACTGATAATTGCGATGAAACTGAAGGCTTTGTCACGTTTGTACACAGTCCGGCTCAGTCACAAGCAGGTCTTGGCCTCCTCGTCAGAAGACTGTTGGTACAAGTCCCCACGGCAGGGCTTTGAGCTCACGGTCTCGGTTGAATCTCCGACTCAGGGAAGGGCTGTCGTTGTCAGAGGTGCCGTCGCTTGGATAAAGACATTAAAACCAAAGCCCTTCCTTGTTCGAGTGGACGTTATCGATCCCGTGGCTCCTACTTGAAAAGAGACGAACATTTCTCTCTCTCTCCCCCCCACCACCACCGCCCACCCACCCAAATGTAATGATGATTGTTATTACTAGTTCCCAGGTAAGTCCCCCTCCCTGTCACCCATCAACAACAACCACAACAACAACTTGGATTTATAGAGCGCCCTCCACGCCGGACGGCGTCTCAGAGCGCTTCTCAGTAACGGATCCCGGGACCATAATAATAATAATAATAAATAATAAATAATAATCCTTGCATTTGATGCAGCGCCTGATCACGTCTTCGAGACGTCTCAAAGCGCTTCGCAGGATATGTTGTAAAGTGTAGTGACTGTGTGTTGGGCGGGACGAAACGCGGCAGCCCGTTACGCACAGCGGTGTCCCGCACGCAGCCGCGGATTGAGTGACCAATTTATTCTTATTTTTTTTTGAAGGAATTGGAATAACTTGCCAGTGACTGTTGACATCAATATTAATCGTCTCAACGTAACTCGGAGCCTGGTTCTGCTGGGAGTCGAGGTTAATTAAACGCTCGGGTTGAAACCTGTTTCTCTTGCACAACCCGAGACCCCCGACCCCCGCCCCCAACAGGATGTGTCTCACGCACCTTCCTCCGCAGGCAGGGGAAGCTACATAACGGCTCGGATAGCGTTAGGAACCACGGAAACCGCAGGGAGGAACAGTGCGAGAGAACAGCACACTGTCACCTGCTTCCTCCCAGCGGAAACCCACACACCCCACCGCCCCCCACCCTACTACACCCCGATGTATGTTCGTCCCAGATAAAATCAGTCATTCCCTTTCACGGCTGTTTGGGGGAGCGCAGAGCTCGTTCGGGGGAGGTGGGGGAGTGGGGGAGAGAGAGAGAGGGGCCGGTATGACACGGTGATGGCAAATGACCTCCTCCGGTGGCTTGGCACTCTTCCGGTTCTGTGAGACGGTAATTGCAGCTGGCGGGTTCATGTAATAAAGCAACACGCGTGTCTCTCGCACTTGAGAGATAGAGAGAGACCAAATCTGTACAGTTTGCACCCGGTAAATAGGGTTATTTTTTACAGATTGATTTCGCTCGCTCGCTCGCTCGCTCGACGCGCACCGAGACTAGATTTGAACCAGATCAAGACTCCGTGACTTTCCTTCGAGTCTAGCGCCTGTTGAGCTACGGGAGAACGTTGCTTGAGAGGTAAAAGTGTCAGCGCGGGCGGTCGCGTGTTGCACCCAACAAGTAGCGCTCGCCAGCCGTGGAAACAGGAGGAGGCCATTCAGCCCCTCGAGCCTGTTCCGACATTCGATAAGATCGTGGCCGACCTGTGCCTCAAGGACGGCAGAGAGTGTATTCGATGTTATAATTCCCCCCATCTTTGAGCTCACCGTCTCGTCTCGTGCCTGTTGGCGATCCATGGCAGCGTGTAAGTCGGCTGCTGCATTTGCCTCCGTTTGAAGTTCTGGGGCGCTGTGTCGAATGCAATGACCGTGGATAAATTATTATAGTTTCGGGGGCGGCCGGGGGTACGTTTATTAATGATAATACATTAATAATAATAATAATAATCCTGGCCTTTGAGACTGAGCCTTATCATGTCTTCAAAACAGCTCAAAAGTGTCCCACAGGATATTTCCCCGCGACGGACGGGCGATGACTGTGTCATTTGGGGGCGAAACGCGGCAGCCAATTGCGCACATCGGGGTCCCCACCCACAGCCGTGGATCGAGTGACCAAATGATATGGTATTTTTCGAAGGGATCATCAGCCCCCGGAAAAAAAACGATCGGCCACTCGACTAACAACCGGGCTCCTGCTTCCCCGCCAGGTAAACAGAGGCGCGCGGGGCGGGGCGGGGGGGTGGGGGTGGGGGGGTAAGGAAATTTGCCCGTGGTTTTTTTTCCCCCCCCCCCCCGCCAGGTAGGGAATCGAAGCCGCTTGCAGAGCGAGAGCCCGCTGACCCCCCCGCCGCGCGGGATACCGAATTGTGGCGAGCGTCTGGAGATGCCGGGGTGTGGGGTGGGTTTGCGTGTGTGTGGGTGAGTGGGTGGGTGGGTGTGTGGGTGAGTGGGTGGGTGGGTGGGTGGGTGGGCGGGGGGAAGAGAGAGCTTGCGGGAAACACGCAATAACATGTGCGTTCGGGGAGGACCATCAGACTAGGAAGCCCATCAAGGCTCCTCGCTGTTGGCGGAGGGGAGGACCGGTCACTGGTTGCCCGGCAACAGGGATCCCATCAAATAGACCCTCCGAGTCTCTCGGCCCCAACCATCCCAATCGCATCGATTCAAAGAGACTGTGACCTGAAGCGGCCGCTCTCCTCCTCATTTGTACCGTAAATAACTGTCCGAGTCGACGGAGGGAAGACTCCCCGGGTTTGTCTGTGTGTCTCCCCCCCCACACCCCCCCCCTCCCCCCCCCCCCACCCCCTAATGCTGGGGTTTATGCTTTGGGTGGTTTGGAAAATGACATTGGTTGGGGGGGAAGAGAGGGGGGGAGGGGGGGGGGGAGAGGGGGGGGGAGAGAGGGGGGGGGGGAGGGGGGGAGGGGGGGGGAGGGGGGGGGAGGGGGGGAGGGGGAGTGGGGGGGAGGAGAGGGGGAGAGTGTAACACAAGGCACAGACTGAGCTGCTGCTGTAGAGCTGTTGATGTCATATTAATAAGCGAAAAGGTAAAGGCACAGAATGCCAAACCCTCTGTCTGTGATCACACTCACACACACTCACACACACACACACACACACACCCACACACAGAGACACACTCACACACACACACACTCACACACACACACCCACACACACACACTCACACAGACACTCACACACACAGAGACACACTCACACACTCACACACACAGAGACACACTCACACACACTCACACAGACACACTCACACACACTCACACACACACACACAGACATGCTCACACACACAGAGACACGCTCACACACACACAGACACACTCACACACACAGAGAGACACACTCACACACACTCACACAGACACACTCACACACACTCACACTCACACACAGACATGCTCACACACACAGAGACACGCTCACACACACACAGAGACACACTCACACACACAGAGAGACACACTCACACACACAGAGACACGCTCACACATACTCACACACACAGAGAGACACACACACACTCACACACACACACTCACACACACAGAGACACACTCACACACACAGACAGAGACACACTCACTGAGACACACACACAGACAGATACAGACACACACACACACAGAGCCACACACAGACACAGAGACAGAGACACACTCACTCACACACAGAGACACACACACACACTGAGACACACTCACACACACAGACACACACACACACTGAGACACACTCACACACACAGACACACACACACACTGAGACACACTCACACACGAACACACACCACACGAGACACACACACACTGAGACACACACACACACACTGAGACACACTCACACACACACACACACACTCACACACAGAGACACTCTCTCACACTCAGATCTGTCGGTGTTGCCCTGACCTACATGTCCGGGGTGTGTGTGTGTGTGTGTGTGTGGTGGGGTGGGTGGGGTGGGGGGGCGTTGGTGCTGCGTGTACGTGTGGGTGCATGTGTGCGAGAGGGGGGTGTCAGTTGTGGGGTGGGACGTGGGTGCAGATTGCGCTTTGGAGTTGCATTAGGATAGCAAACGGAGGGAGGGAGGGAGGGAGGGAGGGAGGGATGGAGGAGACGGACGGGGGAGGGGAAGACGGGGGTGCGGGGCGGGGGCGGGGGCGGGGGTGGGGGGCGGGGGGGGAATAAAGCAGCCACTTTATTCCGTTATATTTTTTTTCCCATAATGTTTGCATTTAATGCCGCAATCAACCCGTAGGGCTTTATTGGCTGTTGCTTGGCAACCCTCGTCATTGGGACATGCTTCATCTCCGCTTTAGTGCGATAGCCATAAAATATTGTAGATTTCATGCAGAATAGAGCAGGAGGGGAGAGCAGGGGGGAGCCTGACGAGACCCAGGGAGAGAGAGAGAGAGAGAGAGAGAGAGATAGAGAGACCAACGAAAATACCCCCCCCCCACCCCACCACCGCCCCACCACCACCACCACCACCACCATCACCATCCCAAATCCATTCGCAGTAGGAGGGGCGAGGGGGCGAGGGGGTGTGGGGGGGGGGGGTGGGGGGGGTGTGTGGGTGGCGGAGGGGGCAAGGTTGGAGGAAGTGGTGGGGAAGGGGGAGGGGGAAATAAATCGGCCGTGGCCCCCCACACGTCAGAGGTAAGGCAACTGATTTCTCTTATCCCGGCTTTTGTTCCTCGTTTTCCCCCCGTGGTGCAGTTCGGGACAAGAGAAGGGTATTTTTTTTTTTCCCCTCCCTCCCTCTCGCTCTCGCTCTCTCTCTCTCTCGCTCTCTCTCTCTCGCCCCCCAGGGTCTTGTCCAGGCTCCATCCCCTTTCCGTCCCGCCGGTTAGTTTCGCGTCTCCAGTCTGTTTCAACCCTCTCCGCGCAATACCCGCCCGCCCGCCGCCCGGACCCCCACCACCATCAGCAAAGGGGAAGCTTTCAACCATTCCGCACCCCCTCCCCACCCCACCCCACCCCCCCACCCGTCGCCCGGCTCTGATAAAACTCCCATCCCCAGAGTCCCTCTATCTCTCCCCCTCTACTCTCCCGCCTCACTTTAAAAAACTTGCCTTAAGACTATTTTTTTTTCAATCGTTTCCCCCCCCCCCCCCCCCCTCCTTCTCAACCCCACCACCGGCCCCAGTCAACCGTGCGGGACGCTGTGACACGTCCCTCCTCCCGATGTGTAAACGTAAATTGTTGTTGTTGTTGAGGCACGGCATTTTGAGCGATGTACAGAAATTGCTCGTGAAGCGCTTTGAGGCGGGGGCGAGGGGGGGGGGGGGGAGGTGGTGGGAGATGTTCTTCGTGGTCGAACGTCAGGATTTCTGACTCTTTTGCCGTCGTATCAGGGCAGGGGGGGCGGGGGTGGGGGTGGGGTGGGGGGGTGAAACCGCACTGCCGTGATGCGCTCGGAGACGCTGCTTATATGAAAGGCAAGTTGTTGTTGTCGAGTGTTATTTTTATATTACTCTATGAGAAAGAGAGACGCTATCTGAGAGGGGCAACTATCCAGTTAACCTTCGCACCCAACCCTGCCAGATGGAATCTGAGCCTCCCAGACTCCGAATTCAACCTGGTCCCAGCCTGTGCAGCCCAGTTTGTGCCTTAAATTGGTTTTTTTAGATATATATATATATATATATACACATATGCCCTCCACGCAGAGTAGGAATCTCACCCGGGTCTCGTAGGGCCCAATGAAAGCGATCCGCCGCTCGACCAATTCACCGGGTTCCTACTTGCTGCGAGGTAAACACGGGCGTGTGGTGGGGGAAAGGAAACTCGCCTAATAATAATCCTTAATTTAGCAGCGGCCTGGACTGCTCGGGGCCAGTGGCCTGCTTCCGTGCCGTACATTCTTTGTAACATCTTTGTAAACACAAATCGTGAATGCGGTTTGGGATGTTGACTGTGGGCCTCGGTGGAATGTTGTGTATGTAGAGAAAGAGAAGGTCCCACAATTACATTGCCATCACAAGTATTAGGCGCTGTTTGGTAAGGACTGAGGCTCGGGGAGGGAGGGGGGGAACCCAGAATGTGCATTGGGGTAATTGCTGGCCCCCAACCAGCTAAAACCACTTAGCTTGCCATTGAGAGTAATATCTGGCAAGCTTTCCCGCTGCTTGTCCAGCGAGGACCACCCTACCCATTAGGGCTTTGGCTGTGGAGTGGGAGGATTCCCTGCCCCTCAGTGACTGGTCTGTCCTTCCAACTCCCACAATGTTCTTCAGATGCTCATGGCAAAGCAGGACGTCGCACGTAGCTCGAGTGAGTTTGGTGAGCGGTGTCGCTGCTTTGTATAGCTTTCTGTTGAAGATCTAATAATAATAATCCTTGCATGTGATACAGCTCCTCAACACGTCTTCGAGACGTCTCAAAGCGCTTCCCAGAACGTACTGGAAAATGAATCGACTGTGTATTTTGTGGGCGAAACGCGGCAGCCGATTGCGCACAGCAGCGTCCCACAAGCAGTCGTGGATTAAGTGACCAAATTATTATCTTGTTTATTTTTTTGAGGGATTATTATCAGACGTGTGGAGTGTGGAAACTTTCCCAAGGTTTTGCCCTGCTGGGAATCGAACTCGGGTCGCTACCTTGCTCCCACAGCTCAGGCGCTGACAGCATCACCAGCCATGGTTACACCTTGCTAATCCGGTCCAGAACTTTGGCGTCTTGTATGACCCTCAACTATCCTTTCTACCCCACATCAGCGCCATGACCCGCTCTGCCTTCCCCCATCTCCGCAACGTCACCCGGCTCCACCACTGTCTCACACCACAGGCCCCCGAGACCCTCACACACGTCTTCATTGCATCGCGGCTCGACTATGCAAACTCCCTGCTTGGGCCTCCCCAACTCCCCCCTCCACAGGCTGTAGATCATCCAGAACTCTGCAGCCCGTGTCCTCTCCCGCACCAGGCTCCGCGACCCTATCACTCCCATCCTTGCCCAACTCCACTGGCTTCCTATCACACAGAGGATACACAGTTCAAGATCCTGGTCCTCATCTTCAACATCCTCCATGGTCTTACTTCCCCCTACCTCTGCGACCTCCTAAACCCCTACCATCCTGCTCGCTCCCTCCTGCTTCACGTCCCCCGCCTCGCTCGCCCCACTTTTGGCGGGCACGCCTTACGCCACTCTGCACCCACCATCTGGAACTTCATCCTTCAGTCCGTCTGTCCACCTTGACCCCTCCCTCGCCTCCTTCAAGACCCATCTCAAGACCCTCCTCTTCGACCATGCCTTCGATCACCCTGTTTCCCCCCCTGCCTTCCCCACTCCCCGATCCTGACCCCCAGCTCAGGTCCGAGACTCTGACTGTCCAGGCCTTGGGACGTCCTCCCGACATGAAAGGCGCTATACAAATGTAATTTTGTGGTTGTTGTTGCTGCGAGGCGCGTGCTCTAACCCCTGAGCTACAGGACTCCAAGATGATCTGAGTGGCCGTGTGCAGATGCCGACTGTTAGTTCAGAGCAGGAACAGGGCGAGATCTCAACGGACATGTGTTTTGAGCAGTTTGTGTTGTCAGTAAAAGCGCCCGGGGAATAGGCTGGTACACAATCCAATACAGAATCACATTTGTATAGTTGTTATAGTCTAGATGGTGCCCCAGTTGCTGTTTGTGGGTCTTAATAACGATAATTTTTATTTATTTTCTGGTCAGCCAAGGTGTCTGACACGTGCGGAAACCCATCACCGTTGCTTAAGAGCCTCCAAACCCAACTGAGAATTCCCCAACATCCCACCCACACATGGAAATCCCAGAGATAGATTGTTGGAATGGATTGCACTCGCTCTCTCTCTCTCTCTCTCTCTCTTCCCCTGGAGGACGCCCCCTGCTTACCTAATTCCGGAAAGTATTAAGCGCAGGTTGGTGAGAGCCAAGACTTGAGGGGAGCCCAGAATGAGCGTTGGGGGTAACTGCTGGAATCTAACCACATCGCTTGCCTTTGAGAGTAACGTCTGGCAAGCTTTCCCGCTGCTTGTCCGTCTAGGACCACCCTACCCATTGGGGCTTTGACTTGCGGCGTTAACAGGAGCTGAGTGGGAGGATTCTCCGCTCCCAGTGACCGGTGCTTGACAGATGGGACTGTAAGAGGATGGGATGGGAGGGAGAGCACGGGCTGGTGGACTGAGGGGAATGTAATGGAGATGATGAAGGGTTGGGGGGGGGGGAGAGGGTGTAATCCAGGACAAATGGTCAAGCGATTTCCGCTAATGGACTCAAGCAAAGTGACTTTATGGGGGTGGGCAGAGAAAGCAGGGATACTGGTTCCTAATAGCAGCAGCGATCACAACAGCTTTGATTCAAGAGACTCGAGAGCATACAGCCGAGGCACAGGTAGAGCTCATTGATTGATTGATTGATTGATTGGTTGATTTGGCAGCAATTTGTGCTCATAAAAATTCCTAACGGCAGGGAAATAATGACTAGCCGTCTTCAAAGGGAAGCATAAAAGAAAATCCAGCTCTTTCAGTCCAGCGTGGAATAGCAGTGGCCAGGAAATGGGTTGTCATTCTCTGTAGTTTATGTGTTGTTCGAGGTTTGTTGTTGTTGTTGTCTGTATCCTTTCTCCCCCTGCGGAGGTGGGGGGGTGTGAGAAGTGAGGAAACAGCTGTCTTATTACACTTAGCGAGGCAATAACCTGCCTTAACAAGCCTGAGGTGGGGCAGTGCCGTTGAATGAAACTAGTCTGTTAAACTGGAGGAGACGTGTCATTTAAAAAAAAAGTGCCTCTTAAAAGTCCACAACAAGTGGGAGAATTACACGGGGAATATTTCTACAAAAAATCGAGAAAAGATCAAATCGGCCACTCACTCCATGGCTGTTTATGGGACTTGGCTGTGCAAATTGGTTTGCCGCGTTTGCCTCAAATTCACAGTTACTACACTTGACGCTAATTAGTCATTTGAAAAGCCCTTTGAGGGGTAAGGGTGGGACGTTTATAGGCGCTGTATCAAGTGCAAGGATTGTTTTATTATAAGTTAGCGGGACTCTTAGAGGCCAAGGGATCCTCAAGCCTTGGCTCTTGCGCCTAATTTGGGGGAATTACGAAAGCAGAAGGTATCCCTCCAGTGAGAGAGAGAGAGAGAGAGAGAGAGAGCATTCCGTTCCAACAGTCTGTCTCTGGGATTTCCACGTGTGTGTGGGATGCGTGGAATTCTCAGTTGGGTTTGGAGACTCTTAAGCAACGGTGATGGATTTCTGCGGGTGTCAGACGCCCGGCTGAGGAAAAAAAACACACCTGCGATTCGGAAGTCAGCTTTACACAGGTCTGCCCTCTCGATAGCCAGGAGAGAGCCGCAGTTTGGAGTTTTCTCCCAACACAAGAATAATAATAATAATAATCCTTGCATTTGATATAGCGCTTTTCACGTCAGGAGGACCTCCCAAAGCGCTTCACGGAACACACTGTAAAGTGAATTGACTGTATATTTGTGGGCGAACGCAGCAGCCAATTGCGCACAGCAATGTCCCACAAACAGTCGTAGATTGAAAATGACCAATTTATTATTGTTTTTGGTTTTGGAGGGTTATTATTAGGCTCTGTGTGGAGTAAGGAAACTTGCCCGAGGTTTCGCCCTCTGCCTGGAATCGAACTCAGGTCTCTCGCTTGCAAAGCGAGTGCTCTAACCGCTGAGCTACAGGACTCCACGAGAAATCTGATGAAGAGAAGTGGTTTTAAATCGGGGCCCATTTTGGGGGTACGATTGTCCTGTTGCTCAGCGGTTAAAGCACTCGCCTCACAAGCGAGAGGACCTGGGTTCGGTTCCCGGGCAGGGGGGCCAAACGTTGGGCGAGTTTCCTTACGCCCCACGCCTCTGTTGACCTCGCAGTAAGCAGGAACCCGGTTGTTCGTCGATTGGCGGATCGCTTTTCCGGGCGTGATAATCCCATCCAAAAAAAATAATAAAAATAATAATAATTCGGTCGCTTCAATCCGCGACTGTTTGCGGGACTCTGCTGCGCGCAATTGGCTGCTGCGTTTCACCCGCAAAACACACAGCCACTACGCTTCCCAGTACATCCGGCGAAGCGCTTTGAGACTTGTCTCGAGGACGTGATAAGGCGCCACATCAAATGCCAGGATTATTGTTGGGGTGAATGACCCTCAGTCACTCGGATGCCCTTTTCCTGAGCTCAGCCTCGAGGGTATCATGAACACAGTGCACATTGCCACCTCGTGGCGACGCTTAAGTACTGCGGACACTTTGGGGACGTGTACATAAAATAGGTTTGTGGCTTTTCCACCTCTTTATTATTTTAATTTGTTGTTTTTCCCCCCCCAAGGTTCACCAACGTAACCCCTCAAGGGTAGGGCAGCGCTCGCAGGACAAGCGGCAGGGAAGCTTCCCGCACACGTTGCTCACAGTTCTTTTTTGCCAGTTTTGGGTCTCTCGTAACAAATAGCGACGATTAATAGTAATCCTCCATTTGCTAAAGCGCCTCATCGCGCCGTTGAGAGGTCTCAAAGCGCTTCGCGGCGTCTATTGCAAAGTGTAGTGACTGCGTACTTTGTGGGCGAAACGCGGCAGCCGTTTGCGCACAGCGGCGTCCCACAGACAGTCGTGGATTCGAGTGACCAATTTTTATTCTTTTTTTGGGAGGGATTATAACTCCCAGAAAGCGATCCACCAGTCGACTAACAACGGGGTTCCAACTTACTGCTGGATAAACAGAGGCGTGTGGAGTAAGGAAACTCGCCTAAGGTTTCTACTCGGCCGGGGAATGGAACCCGGTTCCTCGCGCTCGCGAGGCGAGTGCTCTACCCGCTGCGCCAAAGGACTCCACTTCGAGTGCGGTACTTTGGTCAGTTCCCTTCGTGATTCATCTTCAACGCCTTCTCCCTCTGTTTCAGGTCCCAGCGGGAAACTCGTGGGACCGACCTCTTTGCAGCGAGGACACAGCGACCGACTCCCCCTCTCTCCGCGATCATGGACAACGAGCAGGTTCCAACCACCACCTCCAGCGGGAACAGCAGCAACCCTCGGCAGCAGGTGCCTCAGATATCTGTCTACAGCGGCCTCCCCGACCGTCAGACCGTGCAGGTAACGGCTCCCGTGTCAGCTTGGCTCCATCCGTACCCTGTAGCTCAGTGGTTAGAGCGCTCTCCTCGCACGTGAAGAGGGCCCGGGTTCGATTCCCGGGTCGGGAGAAACCTTAGGCAAGTTTCGCTACTCGACACACTATTCCCCAGCAGCAGGGCAGGAACCCGGTTGTTAGTCGATTGGCAGATTATAATAATAATAATAATAATCCTTGCATTTGATATAGCGCTTTTCACGTCGGGAGGACGTCACAAAGCGCTTCACAGAACACACTGTAAAGTGAATTGACTGTATATTTGTGGGCGAACGCGGCAGCCAATTGCGCACAGCAATGTCCCACAAACAGTCGTAGATTGAAAATGACCAATTTATTATTGTTTTGGTTTTGGAGGGATTATTATTAGGCTCTGTGTGGAGTAAGGAAACTTGCCCAAGGTTTGGCCCTCTGCCTGGGATTGAACTCAGGTCTCTCACTTGCAAAGCGAGTGCTCTAACCACTGAGCTACAGGACTCCACAAATTGGCGCTGTGTGGGGGTAATAGTCCCTTTTTTAAAAAAAATATGAATAATAATTTGGGGACGCAGCCGTGCGCAATTGACTGCCGCGTTTCACCCACAAAATACACGGTCACTGCACTTTGCAGTATATCCCGTGAAGCGCTTTGAGACGTCTCAAAAATGTGATCAGGCTCTGTATCAAATGCAAGGATTGTTATTATTATTATTATTATTACTACTCCTCTCGCTCCTTGGACCCCTACATCCTCAGTGCTGGGGTGGGAGAACCTGCCCTATTGGAGGAGCCATCTTTCAGGCGAGACGTTAAACTCGGGTCCTGTCCAGCCTGCATCTCAGGTGGACGTTAAAGAACCTGTGACGCTGTTTAAAAAAAAAAGAGAAGGGGGTTACTCCCCCACCGCCCCCCTCAACAGCCCCCCCCCCCCACTCCTCTTCCTATAGAAGAAGTGCTGGAGAAGTATAAGTGTCTGTTAACATAGCGGTTTGAGGGGCTGCTGACCTCTCAAGCGAGTTCAAGGAGGTCCACCTTGCCGCAAGCCAACCCCTACACACTTCCCAATCACGCCAGTAGGTGACGCCAGCTCCAAAGAAATAATAATGCACGTTCGGGAACAAAGTAAAGAGGGAACGATTGAACTTGCATCGTGTGGCGTGCTTCACAAGTAATTACAGATGCTTATCGGTTGTGACGTTAAACCGAGGTCTTCCCTCCCACCCCCCCCCCCCCCCATCAACTCCCAAATCTGTGCGTATTTTCTTTGGGCGGATGGTTAAAGATCCCGTTGAGGGATAGCGCTTTGAAAAGAGAAGGGCGTCCTCCCGTTTCTCCTGGTTTCCCGGCTGTCGATCGTTGCAGATTGATGAGGAGTCCATCCTCCTCCTGGCTGTTTGGTGGGGTCTGGCCGTGCCTAAAAATGTTGATTAAGAACAGTCTCTGCACACAGCAGTTTCACACCGACAGCCGCGAAGTGAATGATCAATTTCACCAAGACGTTTGGGGTTGAGGTACAGATCAGCCACGATCTAATAGAATGGCAGGGCAGGTTTGAGGGGCTGAATGGCCTCCTCCTGTTCCTATGTTCACTACGACACAAGCAGCCAGGCCGAACTTATCTGGTTGGTTTTGGGTTGCTTCGGTGAATTGAATCAGAGCTGTGTATGTGTGTGTGTAAGTCTTAAATCAGAATAAAAGCAATAAATCGCAACCGGCAGTAGTGCAAGTTATTCCTCCTGCTCCCAGTGTGGGTTGAGTAACTGCAATTAAAAAAAAGTACAGTACTATTAAAGGCTCAATAATTAAAGACATCCTTCTGAAGTGCAAGGCACTGTGTCAAGCATAAGGACTATTATTATCCTATCCTGAACTTTGCAGCAACCGATGCAGAATTCACCCACAACTTGCATTCTACTCCGCCCATGTTCAAAGAAAGCACCTCACAGCCCTCTATAGAGATGGCGCGGACGTGTTGACCAGAGAATAAAGCGCTCTGGGACGCTATCCTGCCATGAAGGACGCAAGTTGTTGATGGGAGGCAGGAGGGGGTAGGAGGTAGAGGTGGATTTTTTGAAGGCGGGGATTTTATTTCGGGTGATCTTACTTCACTGCCCTTCGCTGAAGGGGGCTCCTGTGGAGAAAGTCACTCAATGAATTGCTCCTGTCACACAGGAATCCCGAGGCACGATGGAAGAGGCGTGTGTCAGGCACAACAAAGACGAGTGATTCAAGCCGTCTGAGGGCTGAGCTGCGTGGAGAGAGATAGAGCGAGAGAGAGAGAGAGCGAGAGAGAGAAAAAGAGAGAGAAAGAAAACAGACAGTGATAAAGACAGGAGGGGAGTGATGGATAGAAAGAGAGGAAAAAGTTTTGTGCATTGAAACACCTCAAAGCCCCGTTACTATTGAGTGACTTGTTCATAGCGCGAGCGCGGCAGCCATTTTGCTCACGCCGAGGTCCCACAAACCGGCCGCGGAGGCGGGTGTCCAATTTGAGCCGGTACAATTTTTTTAGGGCCGGGACATCGACCGGGAGTCCGCGTCCCCTCCCCTCCCCTCCCCCCCCCACCCCCATACCCCCACCTCCGCTATCGTCTGATCGCCAGCGCCTTGGGACGTCCTCCCCAGGTGCGGACGTCGTTCGGTCGCTCGACGCTCGGCTGTTGGCGGGACTGCCCCGTTTCGCTCTCGGGGGGGAACCGGGTCAGGGTGGGCATCGTGTTTGTTTTGCGTGGGGGTTTTCCCCCACCCACCCCCACCCCCACCACCACCGTAACCGCCGTCAACGGTGAACAAAGGAGCCGAGACCTTCCTACAGCATTTTCCCCATTCATCAGTCTGCTGCGTGTGTGTCCGTGTGTGTGTGTGTGTGTGTAGCGTCGATTGACCCAATATAAGGCGATTCCCATGGTTACCAGCTGTGACCCAAGACCTTTGGATGAATGCATGGCTTTCCTCTCCCCCCCCCCCCCCGCCCCGCGCCCCTCCCCCCGATCTTTCACCCGACCACATCGCGGCGACTTGGAAGGTTTAAGCCTCTTTCCCTCTTTCCGGGGGATTTTTTTTTTTGCCGCCGTCTCCAGCGGGAGGTGAACCTCAGCGCGTTCGATATCCCCACACCCCCCCCACCCCCCCCCAACCGCCCCCACCGGCCTCACTTCTTGATGTAAATAATAATAATAATAATAATAAATCATCATCATCATCATAATAATCCTTGCACTTGGTGGCTTTTGGGGAGCGGGAGGCACTCCGAGGTCAGGAATTTCTCTCTCTCTCTCTCTACACCCCTCTATCACTCTCCCTCTTTCCCCCTCCCCTCTCTCCCCCTTCCCCTACTCCCTCTCTCTCCCCTCCTCTCTCCTTCCCCCACCCCTCTCTCTCTTTCCCCCCTCCCCTCTCTCTCTCTCTCTCTCTCCCCCTCCTTCTTTCTCACTCTCCCCCCTTTCTTTCCCCCCTCTCCTCTCTCTCTCACTCTCTCTCTCTCTCTCGTTCCCCTCCCCTCACTCTTCCCCCCCTACCCTACTCCCTCTCGCTCCCCCTCTCCCCTCTCTCCCCCTCTCCTTCCCATCTCTCTCTCTTTCTTTCCTCCCAAACCCCCATCTCTCCCCCCCCCACCCCCCCCCCCCCCCACCACCACCACCACCTCCCCATCTCTCGCACTCTCACTCTCTCCACATTTGGTCACTTGGGACACAGAAGTCCTGTGTCTAAGCGACAGCACACACCAAAAGCCACAGCAAAGGGGAGTGAGTGAGTGAGTGAGTGAGTGACTGAGCGTTGGGAGGAGGTGGGAGTGAAAAAAGGTTGGAGCCAAACAAGTCATTGTGGCACGAGATTTGCATCTCGGGTGGGTGCAGAGAGAAGAGGAAGAGGAGGGGAGCGTGTGGAGGAGAGGGAGAGAAAGAGACAAGAGACGGCAGGTTTCCCTGAGCCAATATTGAAGACGCGGGAGAAGAAATCGTTTGCCGTTTGCTGAGAGATTGAGAGGCTTTGTCAGGACTGCTGCTCCGCGAGGACAGAGTGAAGGGGCTCAGCCTACGTTGTCTGTCCCCATTTGAGGTGGGGGGGGTGGGAGAGAGAGAGAGAGAGAAAGAGGGGAGGGAGGAAGGGAAGGGAAAGGGAGGGCGAAGGAGAGAGGGGAGGGGGACGGGGGGGGAGGAGAGGAAGATAAGGGGAGAGGGAAGGGGGAAAGGAGGGGAGAGAGAGAGGGAAAGGAGGGGAGAGAGAGAGAGGAGGGGAGAGAGAGAGAGAGAGAGAGAGAAAGAGGAGGGGGAGAGGACGATAGCAGGAGAGTGATAGAGGGAGAGAGCGAGAGCTGAGTTGCAGGAGAAGCTGACAAACGGGCAACTTGGAGTTCATTTCATACTGATAGAGGCTTAATCTCGTCCCCATCACCACCAGCAGTCCCCCCCCCCCCCACCCCCCCCCCCCCACCCCTCTCTCTCTCTCTCTCCCTCTCTCCCTACCTTCCTTCCTGCTCTGTAAGTATCGTACATTTTACTCTCTTTATCTCTCGTGGTATTAGTCGGAGCCCTCAATGCGTAACTCGTGGGTGTTATTTTTTTTTATTTACGGCGAAATGAAAACCGCTTCGTGGAGAATTCAAGAATTCGGCTCAGTGTTCGCGAAAGTCTTTAATAACAGTAATAATCCTGGCATTTTGAATACAGCGCCTTATCACGTCTTCGAGACGTCTCAAAGCGCTTCAAAGGATAAACGCTGTAAAGTGAATCGACGTTAAAGTGCGTTATGGGCGAAACCGGGGAAAAACGGGGTTGTTTGTGTGTGAGTGAATTGGGGGGTGGGGTGGGAGGGAAGAGAGAGAGAGGGGGATTGGGGTTGAAAAATAGTCATTCATTCCAAGACCTTAAGAACTTTAAATGGGATTTATTCTGGGTTTTTTTTTTAACTTCCAAATACACCAAAAAAAACATGTCATGAGTTCAGTTCATTTTTCCCCCAAGTCTTTGTGTGGTATTGAGTTACTGGCTGGAGGGAGGGAGGGAGGGAGGGAGAGAGGGATGGCTTTGAGCTGCTTTACGTTGAGCGGAGAGGCTGGTGTATGTGTATGTGTGTGTGTGTGTGTTTCTCTCTCTCACGGAGGTGGGGCGTTTGGGGGTGGGGGTCGGTTTGGCAGAGGTTTGCTTTAGAAACAAGAGCATCAGCCTCAGCACAATACCTCCTCCCTCTGTCTTCTCCTTTCTCCCCCTCTCTCTGGTCTCCCCTTTCTCTCTCGTTCTCCCCTTCTCCCTTTCCCCCTCTCTCTTCACCCCCTCTCCTCTCTCCGTCTCCCCTGCCTCGGCTGTCTCTGTCTCCCTCTCCCCCACCCCACCTCCTCTTGCGCTCTTTCTGTGTCTCTCCCCCCACCTCTTTCTCCTCCCTCCCCCCTCTTTCCCCCTTTCCCTTCTCCTTCCTCTCTCTGACTCCCTCTCCTCTGAACATAAACAGCAGCTTTTGTGGGCTCCGCAATGCCCCCCAATTGCTCTGTGGGGTGGGGGTGGGGGGGGGGGTCTGCATTGTGATTTCCAGGTGGAGCCAAATAATAATAATAATTCTTGGCATTCGATATAGCGCCTGATCACATCTTCGAGACGTCTCCAAGTGCCTCACAGGATATAGTGTAAAGTGAATTGACTGTACATTTGTGGGCGAAACAATAACTATTTTGAGAATTCGGGGACTTGGGGCTCAGTGTAGTGAAGGGGAATGCGGGGAGGGGGTGGGGGTGGGGGGGGGGGAGTTGTTCTGCGTTGTCCGTCAGATGAGACATTAAACCCTTCGCTTGTCAATCATTTGATTCTGATTCGAAACTTTTCTTGAAGGAGGAATGCTATATCTTCTCTGTGTGTTTCTTCTCCTCACCGCTCTCTGTCTCAAGTTGTGCCAATGGGTTTAATAATCTATGAACATTCTTTCCTCCTCTGCACCTTTCTCTCGCTCTCTCGCTCTCTCTTAAAAAAACTGCCTTTGAGGTCAATCGATGGGACGGAATCCGGAGAGGGGGAGTGGGGGAGAGGGTGGGGGGTGCGAGAGGGGCTTGTTATAAGCACAGACCAGTCAGTGTCGTTAGTCATTGAAGCAATGCTTCTCAAGCACCTTTTGGGGATGGTTTACAGCGAAGGGGCCCCAACAGGTGGAGGATTCTTGGCAGATTGGGTGTGGAAGGGGGTGGGGGGGGGGTGTGGAGAAGGGTTGACTTGTGACCTGGGAGCAGTGACTGATTGATGGCGGGTCCTTAGGATGTAACTCCCAGGTTTCACCTTTAAAGGCTTCCCTGCACAGTCTGGCTTCTCCCTACCTCTGTGAGCTCCTGAAACTCTACCAACTTGTCCAGTCCCTCCGCTCTGCCCGCTCCACCTTTAGCTTTTCTGCCCCCAGCGTCTGGGACTCCATCCCAGAGCCCCTCCGCCTTGTCCCTCTGCCTCGTTCCTCCCTTGCCTCCTTCAAGGCCCATTTAAAGACTTTCCTCTTCAACCGTACCTTCAGTCATCTTCCCTCCACGCACCCCCCCCCCCCACCCCCCCACCTGCTCTCTATCCCTCTTGACTCCAACCCCCAGCTCGGGTACAAACCCTTAACTGTCCAGCACCTTAGGACATCCTCCTGACGCGGAAGGTGCCGTGTAATTTTGTTGCTGTTGTAAATGCCGGTTGATGATGATAACGATGCCAATAATGAGATTAATCTGAGGTTTTTTTCTTCTCTCTCTTCCCCTCTTTCTCTCCCTCCCTCCCTCCATCCGCGTCGGAAACAGGTGATACAGCAGGCCCTACACAGACAGCCCAACACCGCAGCCCAATACCTGCAGCAGATGTACGCTGCCCAACAGCAGCACCTGATGCTGCAGACGGCAGCCTTGCAGCAGCAGCACTTGAGCAGCGCCCAGCTCCAGAGCCTGGCAGCCGTGCAGCAGGTATGCACGGGGGGCTGGTCGGAACAGCATCGGTGTGGGGGTGGGGGTGGGTGGCGGGGTGGTTGATGGGTCTGTGCGTCGCCCTGGTGCAGTGGTAGCAATCTGACCTCGGGAGTCAGAAGGTTGTGTGGGTTCGAGTTAAACCGAGAGAGATGTGGGGTATCTAAAAGAGCGAGCGAGCTAGCGAGTGCGACGGAGAGAGTGGGTAAGAGAGGAAAGTTGATACAGAAACCCAATAAAATAAATAAGTACTCAATCCCTGACATTGTACGTCTACGACTCGTCCCTGACAAGCAATGGCTGCCCGTGATTGCCTGTTGTTTTAAAAAAAAAGGGCAATAATTTGATGATGACAACTGCAACAACAACAACTTGCATTTACACAGCGCCCTTCACACTGGGTGGCGTCTCCGAACGCCTTAACAGCGGCGGAGCCCGATGCTGAGCCGGGGGGGAGGGGTGAGGCGGGTGGTGGGTGGGTGGGGTGGGTGGTGGGTGGGTGTGTGGGGGGTGGAAGGTGACCGTAGACACGGTCGAAGAGGAAGATTTTCAAGTTCGACCTGAAAATGGAGAGAGAGAGAGAGAGAGAGAGAGAGATTGGGGGGGTGGGGGGTAAGGGGGCGGGAGAGAGTCCCACAGCTTTGGGGTGTCGTGGCTGGAAAAAGCAGTTTGAGATGTTTCCAACTGAGCAAAAAGCCATGGTGTGTGTGTGTGTGTGTGGTGTGTGTGCGCGTGTGTTGTGTTTATTTAACATTGCGCCTTTCTTTTCTTGCTGTCGTTCTCAGGCGAGCTTAGCAGCCACCCGTCAGGGATCCTCGCCCAATGGGACCGTCTCGCAACAGGCAGGTTCCTCCCCCGCAACGGTAAGTTCCGACAACCCGACGAGTCGCGCCACGTCGCGGCGGGGCGTGGGCAGGCGAGGGTTAACCCGCTGCGCTTCTCAACGCGTTGCTCCGCTAAGAAATCGGATACGTGGCTGAATGCCGCTCCTTATCGCTGGGTTCCTTAATTGAGAAATCCGTTAAGTAATATGGCAAATTAGAACACCCACCCACCCCCCCCAACCCTCCACCCTTCCCACCCCCCCCCCCCGCCCCCCCACCCCTCCACCGCCCCCCCACCCTCCCACCCCTCAACTTGGAGCTTACAGTCACTGCTCTTCACGAATAGCCATTCGCTTCTTCCCACTCCTTTGAAGGGATTATTACCTCCAGAAAACCACCTAAGATTTAGCCACTCTTGAGCGCAACGTGAGTGGGTACCTGGTTGACGGGGTGGGTGGGGGAGCGGGGGAGCGGTGGGGGGGGGTGGGGGCGCACAGACGGGTGCTGTCGATGGCACGGAACCTCTGGGAGTCTGGCAATGCAATAGCGAGTCTGTCTGCACCTGAGCTCACCGTAACGAGCCGTGGGCCGCCTGGGGCTCGGCTGCTCTCCCCGATGCGATGCCTCGATATCCCCAGTGTCGTGAGGGTTGTTGTTGTTGTTATTCTGTTACAAATCGTATCATCGATGGCATTTCTCTCCGCTCCGCAGATTAACCTGGCCACCTCGCCTGCTGCCGCCCAGCTGATCAGCCGCGCCCAAAGTGTGAACTCCACGGCCACCACTGGCATCGCCCAACAGGCCGTGCTCCTGGGCAACGCCAACAGCCCCACCCTGACCGCCAGCCAGGCTCAGATGTACCTGCGGGCACAGATGGTAAGCAGCAACCTGGTGCGTAATCTTCTCGAAGCAAAAAAAAAACAACCCACCCGACCTCAACCCCCACCCTAGTCTCCCCGGTCTGTGTTAGCGCAGCTGCTTTCTTCGCCTGTTGTCTCCCAGAAAACACCGGCAGCCACTGCACCGTATACCGTGTCCTCGTGCGGTCCCGTAGCTCAGTGGGTTGGGGCTTTGAGCACTCGCCTCGCGAGCGAGCGAGAGGACCTGGGTTCGATTCCTGGGTCGGAGCGAAACGTTGGGCGAGTTTCACCTGGTGATTGAAACAGAAATCGTAATAGCTTTATAAGAGCAAATTAATATTTGGGAAAAGGAGAAATGTAAGAATAATGTGTGGGGGGGGGGGGGGGGGGGGGGGGAGAGGGGGTGGGGTTGGGGGGGGTTGGGGGGGACTGGACTGAACAGAGCGCTCTCGACGCAGAGAAACCGCCCACAGGCACGATGGCAGGACCAAGTGACCTCCTCCCTCTCTGCCCTGCGTGTGAGATTTTACGGAACGTTTAGGTTTTCTTTTTTTAACCGCCGTTCCGTTTCTTACAAAAATAAAAATGAAAAAATTCGTCGTAAAGCGGCAGCGGCTGTTCTGAATAAAAGCGGCAGACTCTCGGATTTCCAGCTGTTCGAAGTCCCGGCACTGTGTGTCAGACTGCGTGCTCGTGTTAATGAGGCTCAGCTGTGCTCTCTGTACAGATGTTGAGCGTTGGGTGGGTGGGTGCGAGGCGGATGTTTTCTTGAGCCTTTCCACCCCCCCCCCCCCCCACCACCTTCTCCTCCCCAGAGGGCAAACAGATCGCAGCTGCTGCTAATCCCTTCCATCAGCCCCAGGGTTTTGTTTAAAAGAGACGAGAAACTGACCGCAAAAGGGAGAAAAGCAAAAAGAATCCTTTTGCCTTTTGCTTCAGGCACTCACACCACATACACACACCATATTCGCACACACACCATACACACGCATACACCATATACACACACACATCATGTACACACACGCATACACCATACACACACCACATCACACAGATACACACATACACACCGCACGCAAATTAATGAACAGGATTGCGACTATTCCAGCTACTAGCCCCCATCTGGAGGGAGTTGAGGCAGTGTTTGCTCGTGGGACACGATAAGCCAGTCACAGTTTCCACGTTTCTTTGAAATAGTGGGCGTTTTTTTTTTAGAGTGGGTGGGGGGAGGGCGCGCGAGAGAGCGAGAGAGAGAGAGAGAAAGAGAGAGAGATACGGTCGTAAGCACATTATGTCAAAAAATAATTGAGTTGCGTCACTTTAGGAATGGAGTTCAGGCCAACAATCCCCTCTCCCCCACCGCACGCCCCCAACCCCCCCCACCCATATGAAAACTTGGTCGCCCACTTCAAGGCTGTTTGCAGGACGTTGCAAATTGTGTGCAGCGTTCGCTTGCGAAGTGCACAGTCGCTACAGCTGGCCATGGAGTGAGTGACCAATTTTATTTGGTGAGATTGTCGGCCAGGGAGACCATGAGACACACACACCCTCAGCATCGCATTGGAGCATCAGCTTAGACTATGTGATACCAAGTCGCGACATGGGGGCTTGAATCGCCATTGGCGGATGGGCCTTCAGCCACTCTGCCCCCACCCGCCCTCTGGAACTCCACCCCGCAGTCCCTCCACCTCGCCCCCTCCCTTGCCTCCTTCAAAACCCTCCTCTTCGACCGTGCCTTTGATCACCCTCTGTCCCCCACCACCCCCACCTGCCCTCCACCCTCCCCGATCCCGACCTCCAGCTCGGGTCCGAAACACTGACTGTCCAGCGCCTTGGGACGTCCTCCGGACGTGAAAGGCCGTATACAAATGTAATGTTGTTGTTGTTGAACCCACGACTCGGAAGGCGAGAGGGTAACCTCCCACTGAGCCGGGCTGCACACATGATAGAGGCATAGTCCACGGTGGGTTGGAAGGATAGACCCCTGGGGCGGGTGTTGGGGATGAGGCAGGGCAGGGGAAGTGAATGGACAGACTCGATGGGCCGATGGCCTCTTTCTGCGCTGTAAATATTCAATGATTTCTTAAGTAGCTAGGCCGCTAGGACGTGCTGTTCATTTGTCCCCTCAGCTCATTTTCACACCCACTGCCACAGTTGCTGCCGTACAACCGGAGGTCACCGTGTCCTCGGCAAACCAGCAGTCGTCTGCTTCCCAGGTGAGTTTATGGCACACAGCGGTCAAGAGGCCTTCAGGAGCTGTGTGGTGGTGGGGGTTGGGGTTGGGGTGGGAGGGGGAAGAGGTGCAATTTTGTGGCATATGAGGTATGGTTCCCCCACCCTTTGGAACTCCATCCCACAGTCGCTTCGTCTTACCCCCTCCCTTGCTTCATTCAAGGCACGTCTCGAGACCATTCTCTTCCACCGCGCTTTTGGCCACCCTCCCACCCCTCCCCTCCCCGCCCTACACCCCTCCTGATCCCAACCCCCAGCTCGGGTCCAAATCCCTGACTGCCCAGCGCCTTGGGACATCCTCCCTACGCGAAATGCACCGTATTTGCTGCTGTTGTTATTGCCGGCGATAACGTAGGAATGTAGGGAAACAGGAATAGGAGGAGGCCATTCAGCCCATCGAGCCTGTTCTGCCAATTGGTCAGATCTTTTAAAAATTCCCCCCCCATCTCCCTCCCCCACTTAAGACCATGCCCTTAATGCCTCTGTTACTCAAGTGTCTGGTTGGCTTTTGTTCAGTGAGACAGAGCTCACTATCCTCTAGCGAGGAAGGTTGCCCCAAGTTGGAACTTAAGCTCACCATTGCAATGGGGGAGTGAGGGGGCAAGAAATAGGCAGCTGGGAACTGGGTGATAACTTTCTCTTTACAGTATATCCTGTGAAGCGCTTTGAAACGTGTTGAAGACCTGATAAAGCTCTACATCAAACACAAGGAATATTATTAGTATTATTATTAAATCTAGACCTGGATTCGAGAATTTTGACTCTCCCTCCCCTTAGCAATGTGGAAGCCGCTATCTTTTTTTTAAGACCAAGTTGCTAATTCTTGGAAAAGTTACGCAGGGTGTGAAATACGTAAAACAAAACGGTTCTGAGTCTTTGAGCTTGAGCGGAGTTTGGAGCTTCTCAGAGAGAGGGAAAGAATTGGTGGAACATGGGAACAGGAGTAGGCCATTCAGCCCCTTGAGCCTGTTCCACCATTCTATAAGATCATGGCTGACCCGTACCTCACCTCCAATTACGCACCCCCAGGCCCACATCCCTTGATCCCCTGATCTGACAAATATCTATCTACCTCAGTCTTGAAAATTGGAACGGGTCCACCATCCACAGCCCTGTTGAGGGAGGGGTGGGAGAGCTCCAGATTTCCACTACCCTTTGCGTGAGGGTGAGATTGTGGAGGGAAGAGAAAGAGAGAGAGTGAGAATGTATTGATGAAGGTTTCTCCTGTTTGCTGCATTCCAGGTCCAGAACCTCGCCATCCGAAGCCAGCAGAGCAGCTCAGGGGCCCAGGCACAGCTACAGAGCGTCACTCTGAAGGCCACGGCCTCGGCTCACCAGGCCTCCGCTATCTCTCAGGCCAAACCCCCCGGCCAGAACCCTGTGTCGGGCAACAAGGGAGGGCAGGGCGACAGCATGGCTGAGCACGGCAAGAAGGCAGACGGCAGCAATTCGGCCAATGTAGAGTCCCGGTCACTAAGCTCCAACCATACAGCGAGCCCTCTCATCACCACTGGTGAGTGAGCTCCTTATTCCGTGCGCTGTTGAGTAGCAGCAGCTCAAGGTGTGTTGAGAAGTTGTGGCTGGAATTAAACTCGCATGGTCTTAAGGTGACGTTACGATGCAGTGCTGGTGTTGTGTGTGGGGGGCGGGGGGGCGCGGAGGCTGCATTGGCAGAGGTGAGACGTCCTTCGGATGAGACGTTAAACCAAGGTCCCATCTGTGCCCTGTTCAGGTGGACGTTAAAATCCCATGACACCATTCGAAAAGAAAAGGGAGTTTCTCTCTCCCAGTGGGTGTCCTGGCCAACAAATCCCCCACCCCCTCCACCCCAAAATAAAATTGGTCACTCACTCTATGGCTGTTTGTGGGACATTGCTGTGCGCAATTTGGTTTGTGTTCGCCTTCAAATACACATTTTTTCCATTCCACAGTAAAATCCTGTGAAGCACTTTGAGAAGTCCTTCCGACGTGATAAGGCGCTGTAGCAAATGCAAGAAATACTCTTAATATTATTATTATTATTATTATTAAATCCAAACTACCTCAAGTGAGGTGACTGGCGCTTGGAGTTCTGACGTTCCTAGGCTTGAGACCACCTAAGGTTTGAGTTACTCGTGCGGAACATTTGGGAAAAACAATCTCATTAAACTCCGTCTCTGCTCGAAAGCCTTTACCTGCCGCTCCTCGGAAGGAATCTTTTCCTCAGCCTCTTTGCTGTCGAAATTTGATCCTTGCACATTTTTTTGTTAAGAAACAGTGCAAAATAGCCCCCCCCACCTCATGTTTTCCACACAAGAGTGCAAGCAGACCCCAGAGGAAGTGAGGTTGTTTTCTTCCCTCTCCCCTTTCTTCCCGCGCCCCCATTTCTTCCCCCCCCCCCCACGCGGAGGAAACCTGATGGAGCCGCTTATATATTTTTACGAGGGGGGTTTCAATAATGAGGTAAACGGGGACAAATTGTTTGCACTGGTCAGCGAGTCAGTCACTGGATGGCACAGACTTCAAGCAATTACCACCAGAAGAACAAAGGGAGAGAGAGCGAGAGAGAGAGGTGGGGGTGGGGGTTAGGAGAATGTCTTTTCCCCCTCCCACAGAGGGACTGTAGGACCTGGAATGTCCAACCGAAGGGAAACGATGTTTCGGGCAAGTCCTGCTTTCTTCTTTAAGAAGGAATTGTTGAACCATCTGCACGGGAGGAATCTGAACGTGTGAGAGTGCGGTTGTGTGCGAGAGGGCACAAAGTGCGATTAACCCGTAAAAAGCGTCTGGTCCACGTGAGGGACCGTATTTGTTCGCGAAGCAAATCAACAGCAGATCAATCTCTCCTCGACTGGTGTTGTGGAAGTGGAAGGGAAGCCTATTCGCAGTCAATTTCCCCCGTGGAGCATTTGAAAGGCACGGTGGGGTGTGGGCGGGAGGGGGGGGGGGGGGGGCGGGAGGGGGGTGGTGTGGGGGGTTGAGGATGGGGATGAATGGATCTCAAAATGATGCGTGAGAAGAGGGGCAGAGTGGGAGGAAGGCGATTGTCTTGTTGTTTTTGCTGTGGTGGGTGAGGGTTGGGGGTTGGGGGAGCGTGCAAAGGCTTGAGGCAGGGAATTAACCCTGCTGCGGGGAATGAATCGAGTTAACAGAGCGTAAGATGAGGCCAATTCATGGCCGGGTGAATATCGCCAGGGCTGGGGCGGTTGGCCTTTTGCGAGGATTCAGGGGATTCAGGGCTGGACACCGCACAATGATCCACTGCTGAGCTACGTGATTTCTTAGACTCAGTGAGCAATTTTGAGCTCAGCACGTGCTGGTGAGCTCACAGGAGCCACGACGATGTTCTAAGCTCTCCCGCCTAACGATCCCGGCCGACCGTTTATTACGTGCCCCCCCCCCCACGGAGACGGGACACGAGCACAGGTTTCGCTTTCTTTTAACTTTGTTTTTGTCTTTTTTGGGGCCATTTCCCACCCCCCCCCCCCCCACCCCCACTTGTTCAAAACATCCCTCGCTTTAAAAATCACACGCGCTCGATAATTTAGGTGGTTAGCTTTTCAAAGTCATACAGAGTGAACACACACACACACACACAAACACAGACACACAGATACACACACACACACAGATACATACACCTACACACCACAGACACACACACACGCACAGCATTTCCACATTTTGGCATTGACCAAAAGCACAGACAGAGAGAGAGAGAGAGAGGGTTTTTAAGGTAGGGAGAGAGCCAGACTGTGTCTGGATCGTATGTAAAGAGGGATTAAATATCTTAAAAGATCAGATCGGCAGATAATCCCGGAGGGGTGAGATGCTCTCCAGTAAATATGACACCCAACACGAAACTAATCTGTCAGATAATAACTCAATCCCCTCGAGATGGGGAAACGGTACTGTTTCGGCCTGTCGCTTGATAAACATCACATGGTCTGTACTTCAGGCAATAATTTCGGTATTGTATATAGAGGCTCCTCACGTCAGCGACAAGCTTCTGATTTTATAAACCGAGGCAAGTTTCCTTACTCCACACGCCTCTGTTTATCCAGCAGTGAGTAGGAACCTGGTTGTCATTTGATTTGCCGGTCGCTTTCCGGGGGTAATAATCCCCCCTCCTCCCCCCGTAATTATAATAATAATTTAGTCGCTCAATCCATGAGTTTTTGAGGGACGCTGCTGCATGTCCCGCGGCCCGCAGAATACACAGTCACTGCACTTTTGCAGTATATTCTGTGAAGCGCTTAGAGATGTCTCAATGACGTGATAAGGCGCTGTATCAAATGCAAGGAATATTATTATTCGAACACTTAGTATAACATTTGTCTCTCTTTTGCTGAGAAGCTCGTGAGTGCGTGAGAGAGAGAGAGAGAGAGAGAGTGTGGGAGGAGGGAGCTTGCTTGGCTCACGCTTGCCTTGGCAATCGCTTCTGTCCTTTCGGGGTTAACGTGCCCAGGGCTCCTTCCGCCCCTCTCCCCACCCCATGTGGTAATTCCACACTCCCACGTCTCTCAACAAAAGAGCAAATCTGACGTCCGTCGCTGGGGAGGCCCCGGGGGTGAGGGGGCGGGGGGGAGGGGGTGTGCGAGTTACACAGATGTGACCCCCTCCTTTGTGGGTCAGGACCTTTGAACCTCGATCATTAAGCTCTTTCTGTTGTTCTCGAGTCAAAACCAGAGAAGAGGCTGGTTGGTGGGGGGTGGGGGAGCTTACTTTAAGAGGGGGGATAGAAGTCCCTTCGAGCCTCACTAACCTCTACACGAACGTTAAAGGACTTTTTTTTTTGCTCTCTTCTGAGTGCATCATTAATTGAGGTCCTGCCCGCCTTGTGACTCAGGTGAATGTTAATCGGTTGTTTCTCCTCCGACGCCCCACCCTCCCTCCCCAATCGCTATTTCAAAGAGACGAGGAGTCTTTTCTCCTGGTTTCTATTTCCTCGCCAGCGACTCCCAGGTTGGTGGAAGGCCAACCAGATGAACCTCGGTCTTTTTCCTCTTATTCCTTGTCCAAACTCCCCCAACACTTACCCACCCCGTAGCCTGCGAGCTCAACCTCCCTGAGGTGGGGCTTGAACCCACGATCTTCTGCTCCGGAGGTGAGAGCGCGAGCGGCTCAGCCCGAGGTCTCACTGTTGTCTCTCTTGCGTCTGCAGCTTACGCCCAGATTCAACCCCATCAGTTGATTCACCAGCAGCAGATTCATCTCCAGCAGCAACAACAACAACAGCAGCAGCAGCAGCAGCAACAACAACAACAACAGCAACAAAAGCATCTTCAGCAGCAATTTGTGATCCAACAGCAGCAGATTCAACACCGGCAGCACCAGCAGCCCCAGCTGATCCACACCACAGCCCAGCTCCAGCCTCTACAGCAGCAACAGCAGCCAGTGCCTGTCCAGCCTTCGCCCCAACTCCAAGCCCAAGCCCAGGTTCACCCTCAGGTCCACACTCACGTCCAGCAGAGCCCCCAGTGCCAGTCCGTCCTCCAGCAGAAGCACCAGGTCCTCCAGCAGGTCCCTCACTCCCAGATCCCCGTCCTCCAGCCTGTACCCCAGGCTCAACAGGCAGCACATCACCTGACAGCCAATGGACAGACGGACCCTCACAGTCACAGTCACATCCATCAGCATCAGCACCAACACCAACACCAAGCGCCTCAGACGACTGCTGTCAATCTCCAAGTCCAACCGACCGCACATGTGGTAAGATCCATCACGCTACCTCTCTCACCCCTCTCTCTCTCTCTCTCTCTCTCTATCGCAAAATACACAGTCAATCAATCCACTTTACCGTAGCGTAGCGGTTAGCGAGCTCGCCTCGCAAAGCCAGAGGACCCAGGTTCGCGGGGCGCGAAAGCTTAGGCAAGTTTCTGTCACTCCACACACGCCTCCGTTTACCCGGAGGTCAGTCGGAAACCCGGTTCTTAGTCGATTGGCGGATCGCTTTCCGGGGGTAATAATCTCTTCCAAAAAAAAATAGTAATGCAATACAAAATTACGTTTAACACAGAACCTTTCACGACAGGAGGACGTCCCAAGGCGCTGAGACAGTCAGGGATATGGGCAGGATCTTGGTTGGGCAAGTGTCCCATTCGCTGTTGCTTTCTTTCGCTTTGCTGTAGGTCCAACAGCCTCAGAGGATCGTCCACGAGAACATCAGGAGAGAGAAGGCAGACCCTGCCCCAGAGAAAGGACACCCTGAGAAAATCACAGCCCAGCAGATCCCCTCTGTCCCCACCTGCCTCACCGTCTCTGATCAGAAAAAGACCGACACGTCCTCCAAGTCAGTCACTCAAGGTCAGACTCGTCTTGAAATGGAGTCCTGTGGCTTAATTGTTCAGAGCGCTTCGCCTCGCAAGCGATAGGACCTGGGTTTGATTCCCGGGTCCAGGGAGAAACGTTGGGCAAGTTTCCTTACTCCACACGCCTCTGTTTACCCAGCATTAAGTAGGAACCCGGTTGTTAGTCGATTGGGGGATTACTTTTCCAGGGGTAATAATCCCTTAAAAAAATGTGGTCACTCAATCCACGGCTGTTTGTGAGACGCTGCTGTGCGCAATTGGCTGCCGTGTTTGCCCACAAAACATAGTCAATTCACTTTGCAGTATATTCGGCAAAGCTCTTTGAGACGTCTCCGAGACATGATAAGCCAACTATATCAAACGCAAGGATTATTATTATTTTTTATTATTATTAAATCTGATGTGTTGGGGAGTATTATGGGGGAGGGGGTGCGCCGTGCATTTGTTCCTTCCTGTTGCGAGCATGTGCCCACAAAACACAGTCACTTCGCTTTGCCGTATAGCCTGTGTTTCCAGGAGGCCGGTTACAGACACCGCTCGCTTCATTGGAGCTGCCTCGGCTCAGGTGCTAGCGCTCTCGACTCTGGGTCAAAGTCAAAATATTGCGGGTCCGAGCCTCCTCCCCACCCACACCCGCAACCCCAAAGTTTGCCAAATTATGGGCAAAACCCGGCTTCAGAATTAAGATTGAATTCAACAACTCGTCAAATTCTGGACGCTCAGAAATGCAACATGAATAGACTCAACCTGGACCCAAGCTGAGCAGGGGGAGGAGACAGAGAGAGAGAGTGTGGGGTGGGTGGGGTGGGGGGAGAACTGTTCTTTTATAACGTATGTGGCTTCCGGTGAAAGGCTTAAGGGAGGGCGGGGGCACAGGGTAAAAGCAGAACACCTGTGGGTTTCTCAGGAGCAAAGCAATCGACAACCCAATTATATCCTGAGCTTCTGTTCCATTGAGCAGCAGTGATTGAGTACAGATCAGACCTCACAGTGGGTGTGTGGGGTGTTGGGGTTTGCGTGCGCGCGTGTGTATGTGTGTGTGTGTGTGTGAGAGAGGCAATTGTGTTTTCACTTCAGTAAAGGACAGTAAAACGAGAGCGACAGACAGACGGACGGACAGAGAGAGAGAGAGAGAGAGAGAGAGACAGAGAGAGAGTGACTTTTTTTAAAAGTTTTGAACAACTCTTTTCTTTCACATCCTGGAGTTTTATTGTTTCTAATCTTTTTTTTAATATTTCGAGGAAAACGAGGCCGAAGTTGAATAATCCGAACTTCTGCGTTAACTTAAATCGTATCGAAACGCACGTGTTTCTGGATTAATGCAAAACTATTAGTAAGTGCCGCACGTGTGGTGCGGTGGCGTTAAATGCAGTGAAAGGTTATTGACAGGTTGATTTTTTTTTAACCTACATTCTACTCAGCTGGACGTAATGCTTACCCCCCCCCCCCCCACTCCACCACACCACCATCTCCTCTCTCCCACCCCCCACCAGTCCCCGCATCCACACACAAAGCCCAAAGCCCTGCATGTGTCTTTTGTTGTCCTCCCCCACGCCCCCCGCCCGCCACCCCCCCCCCAGAGAGAATTTACATCTGGTTTGTTGGTTGGAGGTTTCTGATTCTGCTGTGGCTTCTGTTTAATGCTGTGGCCATCTGTACAATGTACTGTGTGCACACAATGGCCTCTCAGCCCCCTCGCTTTCTCCTCAAGCGGAAGGCGAAATCTGTCACAGCTTTGCTGCTTTTGTCTGCCTCGTCGGGCTTTGTGCTCCACAAAGCCGCTGCCAGGAAGGTCTTGCAGCAGGCAGAGCGAGCGGGGTTTGATTCAGACTAAGCCAGCCGCCTTGGATTGAAGCCACGACCCTCTCCGCTCTTTTTCCCCGAAAGTGGGGGGTGGGGGGGTGGCGGGGTGGGGGAGAGGTGATCTGAGGGTGGGGGGTGAATAGCGGAGAGTATAATCCCTTCAAAGAAAAAAATACTAATGATTTGGTCACTCAATCTGTTCGTGCGACGCTGCTGTGCGCAGTTGGCTGCCGCGTTTCGCCCACGAAATACACAGTCAATCTACGGTATATTCTGTGAAGCGCTTTGAGGCGTCTCGGAAGACGTGATTAAGGCTCCACGTCAAATGCAAGGATTATGATCATAAATTATTGATTGGATTCATACGCCACAAAGTACGCATTACCCTCTCTGCGCAATCGGCTGTTGGGTTTCGTCCACAAAATGCACAGCCAATCCACTTGAGAGCATATCCTGTGAAGCGCTTTGAGACGTCGCAGGCGTGATAAGGCGCTGTATCAAGTGAAAGAGGAATGGGGGGGGTTGGGGGGGGTGGGAGAAACCCATTTCCCCGCGGTAGTTTCCCCCCAAAAAATGCAGAAAAGACACTTAACTGTGCGTTCACTCCCTGAACTAATTGCAGTCAATTTTCTCGCGTGTGTGTGTGTGTGTGTGTGGGTGTGTGTGTGTGAAAGTCTCCGTGTAACTAACGTACACAATGCCTCCCCTCCCCACGCTTGAGATATGCACACAACACAAAGTCCCATCTCTTTTGGCCAAGCTTCCACCGAGAGGCACCTGTTTTTAACTCAGTCGTCCCTCTCCACCTCCTCTTCCCCTCTTTCTCTCTCTCTCTCTCTCTCTCCCCCCACTTCCCCCCACTTCCCCCCCCCCGTAATAATTCCTTTCTCTCCCAACAGCTTGAGATTTACCGCGCACGGTACTTAAGCCAAGTTTCCTGCAACTTTAGTTGATGGATGTAGGGAGCGGTTGGCTTCATTTGCATGCAGCTGCCGCTGTGGGTTGAGCTGACCTGTCCTCGTGTCCCCCCCCCCCCCTTCCCCCGCCCCGCCGCTCCAAATTATTCGGGCATCGCGTCCCAGCCAGGATGCCCCCCAATTGGCCAGCGAGATTTAGCCACCAGCCCATTCAGCCCCCAGTACAAAGAGCATCAAGGATTCATCCAGCCCTTAGAGTCCGAGGGAGGGAGTGAGTGAGTGGAAGCAAAGAGTCTTGCATGAGCAGCTTTTCTTTTTTTTTTGGTTGGGACATTGTTTGGATGTTCCTTAACGCCCCCCCATCTCCCCCGCCCCCCACCTCGCCCTCCCCCTTCTCTCCCCACCGCCACCCACTGCTCCAACGTTCTCGATTGATTCACTTCTTCCCCCTCCTCCAAATCATCCTCCTTCTCCCTCCCCCCTCCCCTCACTCTCTCTCTCCCTCCCTCCCTCCCTCCTCTGTCACCCTGGAGTAAGCAGAATAAGAGAGGAGGGGGAGATCGCTTGCAATCAGCCGGTAATCTTAAGAGAGCTTATTGTGGCGGCTGCATGTGTTGTTTGGTGCTGAGTGCAGCCTTGCTGAGCCGCTCTGGGCTGACACTTCACTTGTGGATTATACATGCTGTGGTACCGACTAACCTTAAACCCAGGTCAGTCTCAACTTCGGGCCCAGGATCTCCTTCGTCTCCTTAGCTATTTACAGCGGCTCTCGTTCCCATGGCTCTTTAGCCCCGCGTGTCGTAATGTCGCCCGAATTGCTCTCGTTGTTTTTGCTCTTAACTTTCCAGGGTTGGTGGCGAGAAAAAGGTTAACCGGGGGTGGGGGGGGGGTGTCTAATATGTGGCGTTATTTTTGGAGACGTCGGGATAAGGCGCTATATTGAACGCAAGAACTATTATCAGTATTATTATATTTTCTTAATGGGATTTCTCAATAAGGAATCCGAGATTCGGGTATATTTGGGGGGGTGGTGGGGGGGAGTGGGGGAGAGGCTCTAATAATAATAATGATGATGATAATAACCTTGCATTTGATATAGCGCCTTATTGCATCTTCGTGCTAAGGTAAGGACCCATTAGGATTCCCGTTGGATTGCTGTGCTGGAAGTTGATGGTGGAGTGACGTATTTCCGGTTCCTTGGAAGAGTCTCTTTTCTTCCCCACCCACACCCCTCATCTCACGCTGCTCAACTCTCAGCTCCTTATATCACCAGAAGCCCATTGAGAAACACTGTAAGTTAGGCCCTGGTTGGCGGGAGGGGATGGAGCTGTAGAGATGAGCAGTGACGTTACCTGACGTTACCTGTCTGTGAAAAAAAATTAGTATCCTCAGTCTCTCAATCTATCTCTTGGATCTCTATGTGTAGTTTGGATGCATGAAATTCTCAGGTTGGTTTGGAGACTCTTAAGCAGCAGTCAGACACCCGGCTGACCCCGAAAAATCTCTTCGAGACCTGTAATTCCACCCAGTCTTAGCCTATGAGATCAGTTTTGCCTCCTGGGTTTCGGGTGATACAGAACTGTGCCCAACGCAAATTAAATCCGGTCTTAATTTGGAAGCTTGCTTGTTTGTTTTTCACGAGCACAGTTCTTCAAAGAAAAAAAAGGGCTTCCAAATTAACACAGGAGTATTGAGTTACTATCCGCAATTCTGCGCTAAATAGGACCAGCCCTATTGGAAATGTGTGTGTGTAGTTTGTGTGTGTGTAGTGTGTGTGTGTGTGTGTGGCGTGTGTAGGGCATGTGTTGTGTGTGTGTTTGTTGTGTGTGTATGTCTCTAATTGTGGTTCATGCCTGCACGAATGTCTTGACGTTATTCCGAGACTTAATCCTTGCCTTTTGTAGAGCCCCCAAAACACTCTCCCGAAACACCTCGCGCGCTTCGTTTCAACGTTTTAAAGTGCAAAAGTGACGCGGCAGGCTAAGACCAGGTGGAATTTGGGGGCCCCGGCTTGTCGGGTTGGCCACCTCCCAGCTGAGGTGCAAGCCCGCCGTCGCCGGCTGACGCAGGCTGGTTAGGGAGTCTGGCCGCCTGGTCCCCAACGGGGAGAAAGCAGGGACAGTAACGGAGCAACAAGCTTTTGTTCGTCCTGACTCCGAGCTGAGCTTGGAAGCGATTCTGCTGCACAAAGGGACGGGAGCGAGAGAGGGACCTTCCTGCTGATCACTGCCACTCACTCAGCCACGCTCCATGTCGGGGGGGGGAGTAAGTGGGCGCGAAGGGAAAGCCTTGTTGTGGGGAACAAATGCGCTGAGCGGGCAGTTGATCTGTTTTGAATGCTGAAGCTGCCTTTTTCTTTTGGGGGAGGGGGGGGGCGGTGGTGGGGTGGGGGGGTGGGGGCGGTGGGGTGGGTGATCTGTCTGATCAACACCACTTTATACCAGGAGCTTGGCTTCACAACAACAACAGCAGCAGCGGAGAGAGCCTGACAACAGCAATAATTGGGACTCGCCTCATTGAAAACAATAGGGATAGTGTGTGGGTGTGAACGGTGCTATATAAAGACTTGGTGGTGTGTGTGTGTAGTGTGTGTGTACGTATGTGTTGTTGTTGTGCATGTTTGTGTGTGTAGTGCATATATATCCCCCTTCCCTCCCTCCCTGTCTCTCTCTCTCTCTCTCTCTCATTCTAATGGTTTCATTGCAAATGGTCTCGACGTCGTTGCGATACCTAATAATCCTTCAGATTGGGTCCCGCGTCTAAAACGTGGAAACGTTCCAAAGCGCTGCACGGGGAGGGGAGAGTTGCTGTAACGGGGGGAACACACGGCCGGTAGTTTGCGCTCAGCAAAACATCCCCGGACCAGCCATGGAGCGAAATCCGCCATCTAAATCGGTGGTTCACTTTTCACGGCGGTTTGCAGTTACCTGTCGTTGCTGCGTGTAACTCTGCGTGTAACTCTGCGTGTAACTCTGCGTGTAACTCTGCGGCCGCACCTGCCCGCAAACCCAGCCACTAGGCTTCAGACCCGCGAAACCAGGCGTTTTTTTTTCGAGACGTTTCGACGGCTTTGTATCGAACGCAGAGATGACGTTTATTGCGGATTTTTCACTTGAAGAATTTTCACCTCAGGATAAAACGCTGCAAACGTTAACGAGCAATTAAAATAATCAATACTAATAATCCTGGCATTTGACACCGTCGCCTTGTCACATCGTAGCGACGCCTCGAAAGCGCTTCTCAGGATATACCGTAAAGAGAAGTGACTGTATATTCTGCGGGCAAAACGCGGCGGCCAATTCCGCACAGCAGCGTCGCCACAAACAGCCGTGGATTGAGTGATCAAATTATTATCATGGATTGTTTTTTTTGTGGTGATAGCTTACAGTCTAGGCTGACCCTCCAGTTCCTGTAGCACTATTCCAAAGGAGAAGGGACTTTCTTCTCCCAGTGTCCTGCCTGACAATCCCTTCCCCCCCCCACCCTCTCCCCCTCCTCTCCTCCCCCCGCACCACCGCCCCTCCGCCCTCCCCTCCCCACTTTCAGTGAACAGATGAACGTCACTCCGACACAATCGGCTTCTAAAGCAGAGTTTTCCCCCGGGACCTTAATTAATAAATCCTGTGACGAAATACCGCAAAGTTATTACCCCCCACAGAAATGACCCGCCAATCGACTTAACGGCTGAGTAACTACTAGGCACTAGGTGCGTGGAGTAAGGAAACTCGCTGAAGGTTTCGCCCTGACCCATCGAGGCGATGGCACTCAACACTACGCTACGGGTGTTGGGTGGGGGGGGCACGAGCAGACTCGGTTATGTGTGTCATGGCTGTGCGTCTCCCTCTCTTTCAGGCAAAGGGCTGGAGAACACGAATGCAAAGAGCGTCCCGTCCGATCCCACCATGACGTCAGGCAACGGCCACGCCACCTCGTCCGTGGCGGCCAGCGCCCCCCAGCACCCCGACAACAAGCCCCCCCAGGCCATCGTCAAACCCCAGATCCTCACCCACGTCATTGAAGGCTTCGTCATTCAGGAGGGGGCAGAGCCGTTTCCAGTGAGTCGCCCGCGCCTTCAGCCTCCGCCACACGCGTCAGGCTTTAAACACACGCGCGACTTCCAGTTAGACGGCCTGTCCCACTTTGTGAGCGCCCGCCTGAGGGCTCGGGGCTGTGTTGTATGCACGTGGTTGTACATTTGTGTTTGTGCACGCGAACGTGTGTCTGTGCCTGTGTGCGCGCGCCTGTGCCTGTGTGTGTGTGCATGTGCACCTGTGTGTGTGTGTGTGCCTGTCTGTGTGTGTGCCTGTCTGTGTGTGTGTGTGCCTGTGTGTGGTGTGTGCCTGTGTGTGTGTGTGTGTGTGTGTGTGTGTGCCTGTGTGTGTGTGTGTGCCTGTGTGTGTGTGTGTGTGCTTGTGTTCCTGTGCAGTTTTGTGTGTGAGCTTATGAGATCCTCTGCCTTTGTGCTTGTGCCTTTGTGTCTGTACGTGCAGGTTTGTGTGCCTGTATATGAGCACGTGTGCGTGTGCATGTGGTGCCTGTGTGTACCTGTGTGTGTGGGGGGGGGCTCACCCAAATTAACTCTTTAAATCCCAAATATCATCGTTGACCGATGACGTCATCGATATGTGGTTCATTAATTATCTAAATGTTAATTATATAAATATTAATAATAAATGAATTGGAAAGCGAACTGGATGGACCTCGGTCTTCTTTTGCTCAGCAAACTCTTATGCTCTTCTGTTTCGTAAAGCGTGCGTCAGGGTAAAAAAAAAAAACCTTTTCCGGCAATTTCGACACTGATTGACATTGACTCTTTCACGTCTGTGTTTTCTTTTCCTCTCGTCGCGTTCGATCCGCTCGTTGAACGACTTCCACGACCTTCTCTGCCAACGCCCGCCCTCTCCTCGTCGGACAACACTTTTGTGAGTCTTGACTTTAATCTGTTGTACGACGGTGCGTATGATGTTATCGCGTCCTTCATTCACAGCGGTGCTGCCCCCATTTATTCCCCGAAACTCCGTGTCGTTTAAGGCCCGAAAGGACTCGTCCCTCAAATCAATTGAGAGCTCAAGAGATCTCCTCCCTCCGTAGCCTAGTGGGTCAAGTCATGGTAACACTTACAGGCCTGAAGGTTACAGCCGAGCGACCTGGCTGACCTCCGTACAATTGACCATTATTGATGACTTATTGATGTTTAACCATTGCAACCCCCCCAACCACCCCCCACCCCACTCCCTCTGCCACGCCATCACCCACCGTGATGGGTTGCCATGTTTCTGAACTGTTGCCTGTTCTTGCATATGAAGACCGTGCGTTTGAGGAATTGTGAACCTCTGGTCTGTGGAGGTGGGGGGTGCGTTTGGGTGTGGTGGGAGGGTGGGGTGGAAACTTTACAAAATCACGTGCGCACCAAGAAGAATAAGGGTTTCTTTTCTCTTTTTTTCCCCCCCACCTCCTCTCGCTCCCCACGGGTGTGTCCCCGTGTGTGTCTGTGCGCATGTGTGTGTGTACCTGTGCGTGTGCCCGTGTGTGTGTGTGTGTGCGTGTATGTGTGTGCGTGTGTGCCCGTGTCTGCAGGTGGGCCGATCGTCGCCGCTCATTGAAAACCAACCAAACAACAGCAGCAGCCACAAGTTTGCGTCCAGCCCACGGAAAAGCCCCCCCAGCCCAACGCTGACTCGGAGATGGAGGACCTCAGCCAGCAAGGTCTGTGTTTGAATCCACTGCCTCTCCCTCCCTCCCCCCTCTCACTCCTGCCTCCCAATACCTTACAGTGGAGTCCTTGCAGGGTAATGGTTAGCATATTCGTCTCGCGAGCGAGAGGACCCGGGTTCGATTCCCAAGCCGGGCGAAACCTTGGGTTGTTGATCGATTATGCGTGTGGGTGGGGGAGGGGGGTTGTGACGGGGGAGCAGGGGGTTGGGGGTAGTGGGGGGGGGGGGGTGTCAAGATCAGTTGTACCCTGACTGTGCTCGTGCCCGAAGTTGGCTAATTCAGCACAGAGCGGGTGGGTTTCGAACCTGCCACTCTCCAGTCTGTGAGCGAGGGCACTGCCCACACACAGGTGGTGCCTTTGGCACACTAGGCCGTTGGGTTGGTCGGAGCCGTTGACGATGTTGGAGATGTTGACTTCACACTGTTTTCTCCCGGTTTCTCTGCAGATGTGATTGAGAAGGAGGAGGACGCCCTCAGACTGAAGTGTGAGTTCTGCGGACGGCTCGATTACGCTCACAAGTTCAAGGGAACCAAGCGGTTTTGCTCCATGGCCTGTGCCAAGAGGTGAGGGTGGCATCGGCGCCAACAATCAACCGGCGATGGGCGCGGCCCAAACCATCGACGGTTCACACATACACACCACACACACACACACACATGCCACACATACACTCCACACACACACACATCACATACCATACATCCCCCCACACTATACACACACACATCCACACTACACACTCCACATACCCACACCACACACACACGCCACACACACACCACACACACTCTACACATGCACACGCCACACACACCATGCACACACACACACGCGCCAAACACACACGCCACACACACACACAAATTGGCTGCTTGTGGGATGTTGCTGTGCACCAGTCGGCCATCAGGATTGTCCACCTACAAACTACACAGTCGCTTCCCTTAATGATACAATCCCACAAAGCGCTTTGCAATGACAACGATAACAAATGACGTGCGTGTGTGTGTGCGCGCGCGCGTGTGTGTGCGTGTCCAGCGCCTCTCATGTCGGGGGGACGTCACAGGGCACTGCCGTCCACCTGACGTGAAAGGCGACACGTCAAATGCAACGGTTATTTGGTTACGGGGGACTTTCTAGAAACCCCGATGGCGACGTCTGGTGTTCCGACACGCGTGTGACTTCCACGTTCTTGCGTGTTTCCCTGGACAAGGTACAACGTTGGCTGCAGTAAGCGTGTGGGGCTGTTTAAACCAGACAAGAGCAAACACCTGCAGAAGAAGGAAGGAGGCAAACTGGGGAGACGGGGATCAAGGAAGAACAATCTACACGGCACCAACAAAGATCAGCACAAAAAACAGCTGAAGGTAACAGTGTCCTCATCGGCACAGTCACAGACCCGGGGTCACACTTCCCGAAATTCCACCTCGTCTTAGCCTGTGACACCATTTGGCCTTAATCCATAAAAATGCCTGGAATGGCGGCAAATTCTTCAACTCAACCGGTGTGGTAAATACTTCTCAGCTTAGACTCTTTCCTCTCTCTCTCTCTTTTTTTCCACCGCTCTCTCCTCACCCCTCTTTCTCTCTCACACACAAACACTCTCTCGGTCAGATCAGTGTTACGTATCTGTTCTGGCAATATTTCAATGGCGTGGGGGGTGGTGGGGGGGGGGGGGGAAGGGGAGTGCGGGGAGGGTGAGGGTTGATCTCAGCCTGGGGTTGATGTGTGCTCGGACTCTGTCCAAGTGTTGCTTGAAAGCCGGTTGGTCTCGGTGGATAATTGTGCTCAGAAGCTCCTTTGCCCAGCTGGGACGCGAGGAAACTTGGAGAGCAGCAGCTGTGGGCAGCTGGTATTGCTTACTGTGGGGTGGGGGGGGGTGATGGGGCTGTGGGTGGGGTGGGGGGAGTGGGGTGCAGGGAGGGAGTGATGGGCGGAAATAGCCAGTCTCAAAATGGTCCGATTGTAGCTAAAGTGCCAGAGAAGTTAAAGGGGTGAAAGATGGGAAAGAGAGAGAGAGAGCGAGAGAAAGAAGGGTGGGGGGGGGGAGAGGAGAGGGAGAGAGACAGAGAGAGAAAGAGGGTAAGAGAGGAAAAAGAGAGAGAAGCAGAGGGAAGAGAGAGAAGCAGAGGGAAAGGGAAAGAAAGCGAGAGGAAAGAGATTATTTTTTAAGCCTCGGTTTAAAAAATGTCTAGGGGGAGGGATAAAAAAATAATAATCCTCCCGCACCCACACACGTCCCTTAAAGACCTTTTCATCCCTTTATTGTGAATTCGAAGGCTGTTCCTCTCCACGCTGTGCTGCCAACAGCCTTCCCAATACATTGTCCGTTCGCCCCGTGGCTGTCCAGCTGCCTGCAAACTGGCTGCCGCGTCCGGCGACGGGGAAAAAAAAACAGGAGCCACACTCGTCAGTAATTACTCAGGGTTTCGACGCAATAAAAGGCGCTATAACATAATGCAATAAAGGAAGGGACGTCCGTCCTCCTGATGTGACGACGGGCACTTTACCGATGCAATTTGGTATTGTATAATTAATCTCATTGCTCTCTCTTCCCCATTCTCTCTCTCTCTCTCTCTCCTCTCGCTCTCTTTTCTCTTTCTCTCTGCTTCTTTCTGTCTCTGTTTCCTTTCTTTCTCTGTTTTCCATCTTTCAACCCTCTCCAACACTCCCTCCCTCTCTCTCTCTCTCTCTCCATCACGTTCTTTCCCACTCTCTCCCTTCCTCGCTTTCTCTCTCTCTTTCGCTCTCTCTCGCCTCTCTCTCTCTCTCTCTCTCTCTCTTTGGGGTTGGGATCAGGAGGGCAGGGAGGGTAGGGGGGTAGGAAGGTGACTAAAGGCGCGGTCAAAGATGAGGGACTCGGGACCTTCGTTCCCAATCGTGTTGGACTTTGACGGTTCCTTTCTCTCGCTGTCTCTCCTTCCGTCTCTCTTTCCTACCTATCTATCACCCCTATCCCTCTTTCTCCCCCACTCCCTCTCTCCCCCACTCCTTCTCTCCCCCACTCCCTCTCTCCCCCACTCCTTCTCTCCCCCACTCCCTCTCTCCCCCCCTCCCTCCCCTCCTGTGTGTTTTGTGAGCGAAACATTCTGGCGACCTCCGCTCACGCTGTGCCCTTGTGCTCTGACAGAAGCCCCCGGCCAGCGCGGCGCTGAGCCAGGAGGACTCCAGCCGGGGTTCCGACAACTCCAGCTACGAGGAGCCTCTGTCCCCAATCTCCGCCAGCTCATCCACCTGCCGTCGGCGGCACAGCGAGCGCGAGCTGGACGCCCACGAGGTGAGGATGAGGGACCTGATGGGCATCGGCCATCACTTCCTGCCCAGCGACCCCACCAAGTGGAACGTGGAGGACGTGTGCGAGTTCATCCGCTCGCTGCCCGGTAAGTCACTGGGATCTACCGCCATCGTCAACGCTCCGGGCCCATAATCCCTCCGCCTCCCTCGCCTCGCCTCCTTTAAGGCCCGTCTCAAGACCTTCCTCTTCGACCATGCCTCCTCCTCCGGTCACCCTCCTATCCCCGCCCTCCACCCCTCCCTGATCCCAACCCCCAGCTTGGGTCCAAATCCCCAGTGCCTTGGGACGTCCTTCCAACATCAAAGGTGCTGTTGTTGTTGTTGTGGTGGTTGATTGATTGATTGCTTGTTTGCAGGTTGCCAGGAGATAGCAGAGGAGTTCCGAGCGCAGGAGATCGACGGCCAAGCACTGCTTTTGCTCAAGGAAGACCACCTGATGAGCGCCATGAACATTAAACTGGGGCCAGCGTTGAAGATCTACGCCAGGATCAACCTGCTGAAGGACTCGTAACGGGAGAGCGGGCGAGGTCGGACCATTGAGGGGCTCCATTGGGACAAAATGGAAGCCGAGGCTGTTAGTTGTGAAAACCGCCATTTCTGGTCACTGTGAACCTGCCCTTTGGGACGACAGCTCCCCCTCTCTCTCCCCCTCCCTCTCTCTCTCTCTCTCTCCTGGTGACTGATGGCACCGATTGATTGAGACCAACGAACACGAGTGAGAAAGGGCTCCAGTCGTCGCATTTGAAGCTTGCGACCAAACTGTTGGCAAGAGAAGCGAGTTGCTTATCTGACTGGCCTTCGACAGATAGTAGCAGTGATGTTGGATCAAGCGACCTGTCGGCAATGGAGTGGGTGTTAAGAGAGCGGCTCTGACTGGGATTGGAACTTGCTGCTGGTTGTGTTGGTTGTCCTGAGCTTGTTGGAGCCGGGGTGGGGGGTGGAGGAGAGGAACAAAAGGTCAATGTTGAGGTTGATTTCCAGCTCAAGGTGCATGTTTAGAGACTAGATTTTCCTTTAGAACGATTTCATTGATTGATTGACTGAGTTTGGTTTTGGGGGACGGTCAGTGGACCTGCCTGTGAATTAACCACGTGCCTGGGGACCACCGAAACTGACGCCGAGCCTGTTACCGTCTCCGTGACCAGCCGAATGGCGTTCCTTCGTGGGCATTCCTGTCCGTTCTGAGATGGTGTTAGTGACTGGAGGAGCCCCTAGGGGTTGATTTAGGTGGTGGTGGGGTGGGGGGGGATTGGGGCCGGGGAGGGGTGGTGCAGTCCCGTCTGCCTGCCAGCCTCTCTCGGTTGGAAGCCTTTGCCCCACTTTGCGGCAATGGTCTGGAGCCCACTTTGCCCCCAAGTCGCGAGGAGGCAACGGTTCCCAACGAACCCTTATTATTTCCCCATTCACCGTCTCATTCACCCGCATCCTCCAGTCGCTTTACAGTGAATCCTGGAGAGCGGTTCGAGACGTCACGTCGTCGGGAGATGAAAGGCTCGGCGTCAAATGTCAAGGATTATAACTGTGATCGTTTTTTTTTTATTCTGCTCCTAAAACAGTCAGAACCCATTGGGAGAGTATCGCGCGGAGTTTATAAAGTTTGTAAAGCCCTCAGCCACCGGTGTGAGTGTCATTTGATGTCTCATCCCTTCACCGTTTGTCACCAGTGGAGATAAGGTACCCCCTCGTTTTATTTAAAGAGTCCTCAGTTTATTTATACGCCATGAAGTTTACGCAACAGATCCTTGAGTACCCGCCAACTTTCTTTTCAGTCGGGGGTCAACAATTTGCAGACGAAGGGTGCAAATCATTTGATTTCCAAAACGATTCGGTGCTTTGACAAATCCAGTATTTGCCGCCGCCCCCCCCCCCCCACCCCCTCTTTTTATTAGGAACCCTTTATTTTTAATATAAGAAACGCCACAAACTGGACTCCCAGCGGCAGCAATAAAGCAACTCCGTGCGGAGAAAACCCCCCCTGTCTTTTCAACACTAGAAAATAAAAAAATCTTTGGGTGAAAATGGTGACGAGCCGAAGACCCCGAATTATCAGGAACACGGTTTCTCGTATTTATCTCATCTTCCGTTCATTTTGAGCCTAGAGTATAAATCATTAATTTAATTTCTACATCAAGTATGCATTATACTCGATGTATATTTTAAGTCAACATGACCATCTTTGCGCAATTGGCTGCCGCGTTTCGCCCACAAAGTACACAGTCAATCCACTTTACAGCGGATCGTGTGGATGCGCTTTGAGAGGTCTCGAAGGCAGGATAAGGCGCTGTATCAAATGCAAGGATTATTATTATTTTATTGGGAATTTCCTTTGAAGATGCCGTGTGTCAAACAAACCCTCGCGAGGTGCACTGCTGGGACACATGGAGACATTCAGTTGTGTTGGGGACTTGGGATTTTTACCTGTGAAGGGATACATTTTGTATTACGTCTTTTGTTTGTTGTTCTCTCTCTTTTTTTTATATATTATATATATAACATAATTTAAAAGATTCAAAAGTGTCGCTTTTCATTTTTTTCGTGTGCGTGTGCTTTTTTTGTGGGGGTTGGGGAGGATGGGGTAAAACATCGCCCTTACCGGACGGGACGAGGGAGACGGAAAACAATAATAAAAAAAAAACTTCTCGCCTCACGGTGAACGGTTCTTGAAAAGAAAAGAAAGGTGGTTCGACTTTTATTTTATTTGGTCTGTTTATGTTCAAGAGAAATACGATTAAAGGGCGTCTCGCTCGGGACGTCCTCCCGACCTGAACAACAACAACAACAAGATTCCATTTATTGAGCGCCTTTCACGTCAGGAGGACGTCCCAAGGCGCTGTACAGTTGGGTCAGGACCCGAGCAACGGGGAAATGGTCAGGGTGAGGGAGGGAAGGGAGGGAGCGAGGAGGGGGGAAATGGTCAGGGTGAGGGGAGGGAAGGGAGGGAGCGAGGAGGGGATAAGGTGCGCTACGAGCGTCATTTATTTTTGTCTCTTTTATACACATGGGGAGAAATTCCACCCGGGTCGAGATTGACTCTTTTTCTATTTGCATTTGACCCTGACGGGGGGAGGCGGTGTGGTGGGGGTTGGGGGGGGGGGGGGGGGGAGGGCGGGTGTGTGTAAGTGGACCGTACTGGGGAATCGGACCAAATCCACCCCATCGTGACCTGCTCCGTACTCTTACGGAAGGCGTGAACAACAACCAGAGCAAATTGAAGGCTGTGTCCGCACCCGGACCACCTGGAGGTTTGAATCGATTCGCGACGATCGGGATTTTTTTTGGGGGGGAAACCCCTCCTGTGTGCGCTTCGAGCTGCGGATAGGGTGGGATATGAGCAGGAAGCCGTTGCGAGCCATTGGCCCCAACAACAACAACAACAACAACAAGATTGCATTTATAGAGCGCCTTTCACGTTGGGAGGACGTCCCGAGGCGCTGTACAGTTGGGTCAGGACCCGAGCATTGGGGGGGAAATGGTCAGTGTGAGGGGAGGGAGGGAGGGAGCGAGGAGGGGGTAGAGAGTCGAGAGAGGAGCTGAAGACACGGTCGAAGAGAAAGGTCTTGAGACCGGCCTTGAAGGAGGAAAGGGAGGAAGCGGCGAAGGCACTGGGGATAGAGTTCCAGAGCCTCGGGGCTGAGAGGCTGAAGGCCACCGATGGTCGGGCGGTTGGGGCGGGAGATGTGGAGCCGACCGGAGCCACAAAATACACACTCGATGCGCTCCGCGGTGCATCTCGGGCCACGTCTGGAAGACCCGATCAGGCGCTGCGTCAGTGGGAGTGACCCGGGGGGGGGTCCGAGAGACCGCGTTGGGCCCAGAAAAATATACAGTCAATTCACTTTACAGTTACCAAATGCAATTATGATGATGATTATTATTATTATTATTATTAACATGCCAACCAGATGGGGGGGAGGGTGTCATCCCCGCCCGCGACCGCCGGGTGGCGCTGTGGTGCGATTCCCCTTCTCGGCCGCTCGGCGGCGCTGTGGTGCGATTCCCCTTCTCGGCCGCTCGGCGGCGTTGGCGCTGAGTGACGGGCGGAGGCGGGAGGGGCCCGAGTTTCCCTCGGCGACCGCCGGGTGGC